AGAAATGTTTGAAAGCAATATGAGAACTGCATGAGAACTGTATGAGAACAATATGAGAACTGTATGAAAACAGTGAGAATTGTATGAGAACTGAGAACTGTAAGAGAATTGCAAGAGAACTGTATGAGAACAGTATGAGAGTGGTATGAGAACTGTATGAGAAATCCATGAGAACCGTATGAGAACTGCATGCGAACTGTATGAGAACAGTGAGAACTGTTTGAGAGCTGTTTGACAGCAGTATGAGAATGGTATGAGCATTGTATGAGAACAGTATGAGAACTGTATGAGAAATATTTGAGAGGAGTATGAGAACTGTATTAGAACAGCATGAGAACTGTATGACATTTGTATAAGAACTGCATGAGAATAGTATGAGAGCAGTATGAGAACAACATGAGAACTGTATGAGAACTGCATGAGAATTGTCTGAGAGCAGTATGAGAACAGCATGAGAACTGTATGATAACTGCTTGAGAGCAGTATCAGAACTGTATGAGAATTATATGAGAACTGCATGAGAGCAGTATGAGAACTGCATGAGAGCAGTATGAGAACTGTATGAGAACTGCATGAGAATTGTATGAAAGCAGTATGACGACTATGAGAGCAGTATGAGAACCGTATGATAACTGTATGAGAGCTGCATGAGAACAGTAGAACTACATGAGAACTGTATGAGAACTGTATGAGAACTTTGTGGACATATAAGAAAGAAATTAAAAAAGATGTGCCATCAGACAGAAGCTGCTCATCTCTCCCTGAACGTTGACTCAAGGATGATTTCAGACCCTGAGAAGATTCTTTGTTTCTTCTTTCTCAGCTGTTGGTGGTGAAGCAGGGCGACACCTGTGAGGAGGTGCTGCAGCGCGTCCTGGTGGAGGACAAGAGTCCCAACGGAGGCGCGAGCTACGCCGACTTCCTGTATCATCTCCACGTCAACTCGGTCCGACTCCTGCAGTGACGCGCGTCCGTTTTGGTTCTTAGAACAAATCATCAGTTTATTCACCTCAAACTGAAACATCCGAGACAATAAAGAACATAAAACTCAAAGAATAAACGATTTGCTATCGTTAAAAAAGAACAAATTTTAAAAACATTTAAAGCCTGTTGACTGATTTCTGTTTATTTATTTGGTGAGTGATGCGTTTGTGTGTTGAATGTTTTTTTTTCTTTTATGGAATGATAAATTAGGATGATCCGTTTGTCTCTGGCTCTCTATCTCTGTGTGTGTGTGTGTGTGTATGTGTGTGTGTGTGTTTGAAACTGAATTACAATAAATAAAAAGGAGAGTTAATGAAGTTTTCACTCTTTATTTTTCCCTCCCCAGTGCGTTTGTAATTGAAGCTGTGGTGACGACTCGTCCTGCAACACCAGATGAATTTGCGTCTCAGGAAACTCAAAGGGCGTTTGTGTAATTCGTTTAAGCACCTGTAAACACAGATTATCTGTAATTATGTTGCTGCTGACCCGTGAAGCTGCAGCAGCGTGGACCAGCAGGAGGGGCTCCTGGGGGCCACTTCAAGAGGCGTTCAGTTTGCTAAAATTATGTTTGAGAGTGTAGTTGCTATAACGAGAAAAGGTACAAAAACAACTCAAAGGTCTGACGGAGCATTCTTTGAAGGAATGCATATCGCCCTCCTCCACAGACTTTTTTTTGTCATTTTTTGTGCCTTTTTGTGTCTTTTACCTACCACAATTTAGTAGAAAAGGCATTGCCCTTGGTTTATTTATTTTTTACCCCTTTAAAGGTGTGTAAACATCCAGTTTGAATCCAGATCACTTGTGTTTACACGTGACGTTTTCATATTACATTTTGAAACGATAAACCAGCTCCTTCATGTCTGCCCCTATTTGGAGATGAGCGCCATGCAGGAGGGGGCGTGTCCGGAGCTGCACTCTGTTTGTCCGCCAGAGGGCGGCAGAGAGCGAACACGTCAACGACGCTGCAGAAAAATAAAGCAATTACGTAAAGTTGGATAAAACAAGCAGCACCAAACCGGAAACAATATTTAAAATGTCAAAATAAACTACGATTCCAAATAAATTGATGTAAAAAATAAAAGAGATTCCCTTTGTTGTCCAGTCAATGTGCACTACTTTATATTTGTGTATGCTCACTTACAATATTTAAGTATAGATCACTTTTATTGTTGTTGTCCACTGTTGTCATCACTTTTTGTTAAAGAAATCAGGTCTCTCTTGTAAATGAGTCCCTGAAACTCAATGGGATTAACCTGTATAAATAAAGGTTGAAAAAGAAAAGAAAAAATCATCAAAGGTTAACAATCCATTTGCTGCTTTTGTCAGTTTTGAAAATACTTTTTTTTGTGTAAGATGTTAAGCTCAGTACGTGCTTTAAATCTCTCTCAGCTACTACCACTTAAAAGTTTAGCACCTGTAAAATTATTTGAGTTACAACCATTTATTTATTGATTAATCTCACACAGCTGTAGCATCAGTTTTAAATTGATTTACTCCAAACGTTAGTCATCCATCCATCCATCCATCCATCCATTCTTATCTTTTACCTGCTTCTTCCATTTTGGGTCACACCAAAGTTTAGCACAATATCTGTAAAATGTGCAGAGTTTTTACTATTTTCATGTTTTCAAAGTTCAGTCACCTGTGGCAGCCAATTTGAATCAGATTGATGCTGACTGGTAATCAGATGCAGAGTTGTATCCTGTGATTCCTTTATGAGAGTTTTAATAACAACTTGTCCAACGGTTCATGAGATATTATGCTAACAGAGAGACACAAGAAAAAACATCAGGACATAAATATTGGTGAGTGAAGGAGTAAAAATGTTCTGCATTATTATTTTTACATCACATTTCTTTTTCCCTTCTGTTTATATAATTGTCAATTTGATTGTGTACTTGTTACATATTTGTATTTCTTTATTTTTCCAACTAGTTCCTGTATTTTAAAACTACATTTCACTTTTTTTTTCCAGTTGACTTTGCTGATGATTAACACCTCAAGGTCTTTACAAACTTAATTAAAGTTTATCATAGATTTTTTGTGCCATAGCATTTGAAAATAAAATAATTTTTACACACAGATTCCCAAAGCATGCTCAATAATCCAGTTATAAAAATCTAACAAAGTTAAGTCCGGTCCTCTGGACAAATGCAAAAGTTAATAATAATAATAATAATAAAATAAAAAAAGAAAATAAATTTAATTTTTTTACATTAATTTTTTATTAAGTAATTAAATTCGTATAAAATCAAATTTTATAATTTGTTTAATTTTAATTTTATTTAATTTATAATTTTTGATGTTTTGCATCCGTTCAGAGGACCTGATTTAAATCGATACAGATTATGTTTTAGGAGCGACGCTTTGTTTTATTTTGAAACTCCCCACAGGAAGTACCCTTGTTTAGCTAACTTAGCTTGGCAGCGGCTCAGTTGCGCGCGCTGTAGCTGTCAGATAGCGGAGCCAGAGAGAGGACACCAACTGCAGCTTCGTGTGTGTATCCATATCAAACCCCGTCCGTCCCTCGGCGCCTCTTCCCAGGCTTCTCTCTGCTCCCACGGCCGCTCAGCTGCTGGGCGGAACCTGGTCCCGGCGCAGCTTTTAGTCCGAACTTAACGACGGTTCTTTTTGGAGTTTGATTCGAGAAGACAGAGAGAGAGAGGAGACATGGCCACGACAACCTGCACGCGATTCACGGATGAATATCAGCTGTACGAGGAGCTGGGGAAGTGAGTATTTCTGGACTGGAGCTTCGAGGTTCGGTGCTGGTTTCCGGGCAGAGTTAGAACCGTTAGAACCGAGCCCAGCGGCTCTGCAGGCCGGGTGGCGCGCGACTCTCTGCGCGCGCTTCTCTCAGGGATGCCGCCTCTCGTGCTGCTGTCAGTTAGTCCGTTAGTTTTAGTCAGTCTGTCAGTTAGTTAGTTAGTCAGTTTTAGTCAGTCTGTCAGTCAGTTAGTTAGTCTGTCAGTTAGTTAGTTAGTTTTAGTCAGTCTGTCAGTCAGTTAGTTAGTCAGTTTTAGTCAGTCTGTCAGTCAGTTAGTTAGTCAGTTTTAGTCAGTCTGTCAGTCAGTTAGTTAGTCAGTTTTAGTCAGTCTGTCAGTCAGTTAG